TGTGGCTCTAATTATAGAACCATTTTCTAAAGTTATTGAACTATATATTTTAATTATATAATTGTTCAAATTAGTTTAATTTGTTGTATTAATATATAAATTTAACCAGTTTAAAAATTTTTTAAATCCTAAATATATTTTAGAATTAGAAGAATAATAGTTTAACTGTTGGTTAATAAATTCATATGCATTGTTCAAACTAAATGTTCAAATTAAATTTGTAACTTTATAAGCATTAATAGTTCTAATACTTTTTGTTGATTTGCTTGATGATAATTTTGTTACAATAGCCTATTTTTGAACCAATTTAATTTGAAATAATTTAGTTAATTTTTATAAACTATTATAAATATTATTAGAAAAAAACAAATAATTACCATTTTCATTATTTGAATTTCTATATTCTGTTTATTTGTTAAATAATATAGTTTTTTAACAAAATCTTTATGAAGACTTTTATAGATTTTAGTTAAAAATCTGTTTAAAGAACCATATTTTTTAATTAAATCATTTGTATGATATATCCATGAATGTAATTTTGAATATTTTAGTTCTGATGGTGAATAATTTTGAAAAATGTTAACAAATTATCGAGCTCAATTTGTTATCAATATCTAAATAAATGAATTATTTTAATATTAATTATTAAGATTTAATAAATTTAAATTATTGCAAATATAAGCGAAATATTTCTAATTATCGTATAGCTATGTTGTTACTGCCATAACAAATTTTGATTATATTTGTATGGTTGAGTTTTAAAATTCTTATTAAATAGGGCCGATAACATAATCAGATCCTCACTATTAAAAATTTTATTAATAACATAATTATGATTTTATTTTCTAAAATTCTTAATTAATTGACCAGTCACTTAATTAGAACTTCGCTTTTATTAATTTATAAATTTAGTAATTTAAGTAGGTTGTCACTTTTAAAATTCTCAATCACCAAAGCTAGTAATTTAAGTAGATTTTTACTTTTACAATTCTTAATAGTCGGGGTTAGTTAAAATTCACAATTAATAAAGCTAAGTAGGTATTTGTTTTTAAAATTCTAATTAAAAGAATTGAAAAGTTATATGCAATTTACAAATAAAATTCAAGCATATTAATGTTTGTGAAAATGAATTGCGACTGAGGAATTAATAAATATGGCACCACGAATAAGTTCGTTAAGTTCTTGGATAGATTCATCCTGAGATAAATTAATTTGCACTGATTCATTATGTAATTGCTTCCTTTGAGTTGATTCATTAAAAGTAGACGATTCTAAACAAGTAAAGAAAATTAATAAAAAATTAGTTTATTAATACAAAAAATTATAACAAAAAACTTATTCAATAAAATTTTTAACTTTGATATGATGATGTTGATATGAAGCCTGATAATTTATGTGTATTTGGAGCAGTAGCTGTAGATGGTTCTAAAAAAATAAATAAATAAAATAAATAAAAAGTTATGAATATTAAAAAAAATAATTACAACTATTTGCTTCATAATTAATCACTTTATTTAAAGCTTGATATCCAAGTTCTTGTATATGTTTAATTAGACATTTATAAGATGCTAATCCTTTTTGCGATTTATGACATGAAATTGACATTGTTTCATAATCAGATAATCCAAGCACTTTTAAAGTTTGAATTAAAGTTTTACGTCTAGTTTGATTAGTAATCTTACGACTAGAAATGTTAATATCACATGACATTACTAATTGTTTAAAGAATGCCTTCATCGAATTCTCTCCAAGATGTGTTTTTTCATACCAAATATCAATAGATTTAAAATTCTCTTTAAAATATAACAATAAAAATTAATATTTTAATAGTTATATTAAATACTGTTATATAATAATTTATTATAGTATTTATCATGATTTCCTTTTATAGGGTGAAGATAAAATTGAGAATCAGCATCAATTGGATGTTTGGCTATATATGTATCATATGATTCAACAATATCGAAAATTGGTGGGATAGAAAATGTCTCTGTTACACCAGGACTTTCAAGACTTCTTTGGTTTGTTTTAGATCGAAAAAGTTTAACTTCATAGCCGTCAGAGTTTTTTTTTTATTAAAAGAAGCAAGTTCTAATAAAAAATATTCTCCACCACGTAAACCAAGGCAAAGTGCATTAAAAAAAAAAACTCTATTTAATAATCCATTAGGATTAAACTTTGACGTTTGAGAATGCGACAGAATTTGTTGAACTTCATTGATCGTTAAAGCATCAGATCCATTTGCTTCCCCATATCTACTTGCAGACAAAGTTTTAAATTTTCCATTCAATGTATACCAAAGATTAGAGTGTGCTTTTTTATCATTCAAGTTAATCGGTTTTAATTTACTCGTTTCATCATTAAAGTATCGATTAAATGCATTAATTGCAGATTAGAGAGATGCGACAGAATATTCATCACCATTGGCTTTACGACACAGTAAAGTATTTACAGAGCTCTTCTTCAAGCTGCTTTAGATTTAAAATATCAGATAGTTCACCATGAAGATTAATATCTTTGTGATATTTTTCAAACTGACTTATCCAATTCAAAGTAGACCGATGTGTATTTTCTACAACAGACTTCTTTTGTAGTGATGTGACTTCCTCCGGTATAGGCTCCACATATGTAAATTATTTTTAAAAAAAATTTAATATATACATAAATAACAATATTTGTAAATACAAATAACAGTAAATAAATAGACAACAAGCGAACCTTTTGTTTGTCTTTAGGCATAATATTTTTTTTCCTTAAAAAAAATCTCATATTTTTTTATTTTAAGAAGTATACTGTTTATAAAAGTGGAAGAAAAAGATGACAAAACCACGAAAGAAATTCTTATTTATAGTATACTATCAGTAAATCACCTGACTTTTAAATCTGTGACAATTTTTTTATATGATCAAATGACTATGGCAGTAACAACTGCCAGACGATAACTTATAAATATAGTAAATATTAAATTATAAAATAATGTGAATATATTCAAAATATATATATTTTTTTTTTTTTTAAAGAGAGGTCTATCCTCTATTTCTTTTATTTAATAGTTGAATATACATATAAACGAAGTATATAAAGATAAAACTATATTTAAGGGAAATAAAGGTAAGAGCTAGTTTACTCTCGACCCATTCTTTACTAGAATAGTCAGAAACCTCTAGTCTTTGAGCAAGAAGTTAAGAGAAAATTGTCCACTAGCTATATATTGGTGGATCGTGTTATTTTTTTGTTATTTAAAAAAGTGGTGTTAAGTGGGTTAGTCTTCATAATTGCGGGAGGTCGTAATGGAGGAGATGGCTGAAATATCGGGTCATGTTGTGTTATCTGGGAAGTTATCCATAGCTTCTTGTATATTGCTGTTATGATATTAT